TGGGACCAGAAGTGGTTTTGAATTTTGGATTTTTTCAGATTTTGAAATATTTGCATATAGACAGGTATTTTGGGAGGGAGACCCAAGTCTAAACACAAAATTCATTTGTTTCATATATACCTTATACACACAGCCTGAAGATAATTTTATACAATATTTTTAATAATTTTGCACACAAAACAAAGTTTTGACTACAACCCATCACATGAGGTTAGGTGTGGAATTTTCCACTTGTGGTGTTGTGTCGTCACTGAAAAAATTTTGAATTTTGGATTTTCGGATTAGGGCTGCTCAAACCTGTAGTGATAATCATAAGAATGAATACAGTTTGTTCTAAGTTAAATGTTAAAATTCGGTGCAAATGAAAGGTAACCATGTTTAAACTATCTAAGTAGATAAAATGAATTGATAATTTATTGTAGAAAGTACTAAAAGAATAGGGCCAGGCACCATAGCACACTCCTGTAGTCCCAGCTAGTTGGAGGTTAAGGCAGGAGGATCACTTGCATCAAGGAGTTTAAGGCTGTAGTGCACTCTGATCACGTAAAACAGCCATTGCACTTCAGCCTGGGCAACACAGTGAGACCCTGTCTCTAAAAAAATAAAATGAAATAAAAAGAAAGGAAAGTAAGTTAAATTATAGCAAAATTCAAGTAGTTAAAATGTTAAGTAAAGTCCCATATAAAAAAAATAAAATTAGACTTGTGCATTTAATAGTAAAAAATCTCCAGTCCTCTTCTACAACTTCTTCCCATGGAGTCTCCTGTAGTTTCAGGCACCCTTCCTTCTGACCCTCATCCGATCTATGTTTGTCTGCCTGTTTATTTACTTTCACTTTCTTCTAAAATCTATCCTTCTTGTAGAGATACTGTGGCTGGCAGCTTTTTTTGTCCACCATGTTTATAACAGCACAATTCACAATTGCAGAGATGTGGAAACAACCCAAGTGTCCATCAATACATGAGTGGATTAATAAAATGTGATATATGTATACCATGAAGTTCTACTCAGCCACAAAAAACAATGGTGATCTGGCACCTCTTGTATTATCCTGGATAGAGCTGGAGCCCATTCTACTAAGTGAAGTATCATAAGAATGGAAAAACAAGCACCACATGTACTCACCATCAAATTAGTATTAACTGATCAACACTTAAGTGCATATATAGTAGTAACATTCATTGAGTATCAGGCAGATGGGAGGGGGGATGAGGGGATGGGTATATACACACCTAATTGGTGCGGTGTGCACCATCTGGGGGATGGACACACTTGAAGCTCTGACTCAGGCGGGGCAGAGGCAATATACGTAACATAAACGTTTGTACCCCTGTAATATGCTGAAATAAAAAAAAAATCTAAACATACCAAAGATGGTAGTCCATCTTTTGTTTATTTAAGCCCATTCTGCTTATCATAAGGATTTTAAATCATTACAAAATGATTTAAAATAAGAGCAGGGTAATAATTTGATGATATTTAGAGTTTATAAACATGTTCCTATGGACATGTTCTTCATGTAGCTGCTGCTGTAATTACCTGCATAAAAGTCCAGGCATAAGGCCGGGCGCGGTGGCTCACACCTGTAATCCTAGCACTCTGGGAGGCCGAGGCGGGCGGATTGTTGGAGCTCAGGAGTTCAAAACCAGCCTGAGCAAGAGCGAGACCCTGTCTCTACTAAAAATAGAAAGAAATTAATTGGACAACTAAAAATATATAGAAAAAATTAGCCGGGCATGGTGGCACATGCCTGTAGTCCCAGCTACTCGGGAGGCTGAGGCAGGAGGATCGCTTGAGCCTAGGAGTTTGAGGTTGCTGTGAGCTAGGATGACGCCATGGCACTCTAGCCCAGGCAACAAAGTGAGACTCTGTCTCAAAAAAAAAAAAAGTCCAGGCATAATATTGAAACTAGTCCTCTGAAGAAATATTTCCAGCAGACCTAAAGTTCAGTCCATGGCTCTGTTTGTCTGGTGATCTAATTTGGTACAGAGATGAGGCTTAGAGAATTTACAGTATAACTTTCCCTTACCAATTCATAGATAGATGGTAGATAGGAAACAAAATGATTGAAATCTCATTGGAGAACTGGAAATATGGGAGTTAGGTGGTGGTAGTTGAAAAGAAAGCCCTGTATGTTCTGGGATCGAGGCCCGTCCTGCCTCTACACAGAGGCAGCAGCAGCACGGTGAGTAGGATCAGGACTTTTTTTTTTGCCCCAAGTGTGTTCTCAGGAAGGACTTTTCTTATAGAGTGGCTACAGATCTCCTTGGGTTCACACCACAGAGCAGGAAGGAGACAACCTTTCTCATGAGCATCACTAGAAACATCTATCTCATCACCACCATTTCATGTTAATTATTAATATGAAAAAAGGACACTTACTGCTGCTACAACAATACCTGTTTAGAGATGATTGATAAAGATAGCTGGAAGAAGAAGTGAGAGATTTATGATATGCCTGTGGCACTTTGTTCTTCTTGCTCATAATTACAGACAATTGTAATTATTTGCATTCAGTCTTCCCATTTAACCCAAAAGCCCTCTGAACATTTTATTAGCCTGTTTATATCATTGGCACAGTGGCTGGCAGTTCTACTAATCATGTAATGAGTGTTTTTAGAATGGATAGAAATATAATTTTTAGAAATGCAAGAAAAAATATTATCAGGAAAATCCAAGGGAAAATAGAACAGTAATAGAGGTATAAATATAGCAGCATGGCAAGGTAAATCCACAATATTCAGTTATAGTGCATATGCTAGGGATTTTTTAAATTTTTTTTTGAGATAGGGTCTTGCTACATTGCCCAGGCTGGTCTCAAACTCCTGTCCTTAAGTGATCCTCCACCTCAGCCTCCCAGAGTGCTGGGGTTATAGGCATGAGCCACTACACCTGGCTGAGGGATCAATTTTAATTTAACCAAATGGCACAAATATTAATAGATAAGCAATTAAGACAGTAATGAGAGCTGCCGTCAAGGTGATCACAAAGTACCCTAAGTGCTTAGAGACCTACAAGGTTATTTTGACTAAAGTAATGAATGACAGCTTCTCAGAGGATGTACAGTGGGAACTGAGCTTTAAAGAAGATGCTTTGGAGACTTCCATGGATGGCTGTTGGAGGATCGGAAAGTAGTAAAGGTAGTGTGGACAGAGAAAATAATTTAACAGTGTTAGAGAGGTGGGAACACGAAAAGGAGATTCTCAGAACATTATGAAAACCAGCAGGTCAGTGGGAAAGAGGGGGGACTGTTTGCACCGAGTGTACCTTCAGCAGACAGTTGACAGAGATCATTATCTAAGATGATCAGTTAGACCATGGTATGTGAAATGGATTAAAAAGGGAGCAAGTTCAAAGGCTGGTGAGTAGGAAACTCCAGGTGAGAGGTAAAAGGGCCCAAACAGGAAAGGGTAAGTGGGCAAGACACTGGAGGCAGGGAGTTGTGGCTTGCGGATGGCACTTGTCCCACGTGTGCCACCACACTTTCAGAATTAAGCCAGAGTGTCAGGCTGCTGCATGCTTCAACAGGGCTTTCTCAGCCCTTGGTGGGGCATGTCCTTGGCCTGTGTAGATGAAGTCTGTGAGAAACAGTCCTGTGGAATCTGTCCTGGGCCATATTCATGCCCTTCTGCCATGACATCTTTATGAGAGCCCTTGGGAGAAATTTCTGATTTTGGTGTCATAATTTCTCCTGAAAAATTAGTTTGCCTTCATCTTTGAATACTGAATTATATAGCTATTTTCATCTTAACGATGACTGCTAGAAAGTTTATTTGGTGACAAATTTATCAGCTGACTCTTGACTAACTTATACACCTTCAAGGAATACATTTTTGTGTTGTCATTCCTGGCTCTGCTTTCAGTCTCTCACCATGTATTTTTTTTGTTTTGTTTTGTTTTTCTAGACAGAATTTCGCTTTGTTGCCTGGGGTAGAGTGAGTGCCATGGTGTCAGCCTAGCTCACAGCAACCTCAAACTCCTGGGCTCAAGCAAGCCTCCCACCTCAGCCTCCCAAGTAGCTGGGACTACAGGTGCTGGCTACCACGCCCAGCTAATTTTTTGTTTCTATTTTAGTTGCAGAGCTAATTTTTTCTATTTTTAGGAGAGACGGGGTCTCGCTCTTGCTCAGGGTGGTCTCGAACTCCTGACCTCAAGCGATCCTCCCACCTCAGCCTCCCAGAGTGCTGGGATTACAGGCGTGAGCCACCATGCCTGGCCCTCTCACCATGTTTTGTTTTTCTTTTTACTTATTTGTTCTTTTTATTTTCTAGTCTATTGTGCTGAACTGTATTTATCTTTTATAGAGACTTTAAATATTCTTTGGAAGAAAGTGGGGAATAAATATATATTATACCTAATAAAATCTGTAAAACCAAATAAAAATTATGAAGCCCAATGTTGTAGGAGCCATGGAGAAATAAGCACACACATGGCTAATGCCAGTGTCCACTGGAGCTTCTGAGGATTGTGTCTAGCAATAGATACTTAGAGCTATAAAGTTGTTCCTAATTATTAAACTGTTAATGACACTTTTGGAAATGTAACAAAAAGAAATAACCCAAAATAAAACAGTCTTCTCAGAATTGTTATAGCTGCAGTGCATAATAGTGAAAAAAAGGGAACCTATCCAAATGCACAGTGGTAGATGATAGTTAAGTAAATTGGTTAATATTATATAATGGAATATTATAAAGCCACCAAAAATGATTAAGATGATTAGATAAATGGAAATGTATATAAACTATGTAAATTATCACAACATGCATTATATCTCTGTTAAGACTATGTATATTTAGTGAATGAATTAAAAGATCTTGGGATGTTGTAAATAATATTAATGGATAGGTTTTTCTCCCCTGCAGTATTAATATAATTTATAAGTACTTTTAGCCTTAGCACCAAGGCAAAGAATGGATTTTGGAAACTTCTCAAAATTTAGACTATACTTACTTATGAACTTTCTTCAGCTACCAAGTGGCCTCTTTGTCTCTTTGTTTCAGGACTTAAGCATTGAGGAACAGTCAGAATGTACTCAGGATTTTTACCAGAATGTGGCTGAAAAAATGCAGACTCGTGGAAAAGGTAGTATTTTGTTAGCCAGCCATTGAGAGATTGAGTCTGGTAGTTGCACGGGGACTGACTGGTCAGTCTCTTAGCAATTTCTCTCTTTCTCTGACGGCCTGGCCGGTTTGTCTACTCCATGCTGTAAACTACTCCACTGACATTCCCGTAACTGGTCTTACAGTCAGCAATGCCTTTGAATACTACCATGTGTACCTTCTCAAGAGCAATTGGATAATTTATTGAGTAATGTTCAATAATTCCATTAGGGGTAGGGGGTCCAGCGGATTAAAACCTCCTGGGAGACTTTTCTAAATGAATCCCCCATCTTGGAATCACTATTTTGGTGAGTCATTGCAGTAAAAATATTGACATAGAGCTTTAGGTTTTTAGGGATTCGTCTTGAGTTCGACCCCCATTGGTGTTGGACTTTAAGATGTACTTAGTACATGTGTATGTCTTAGAAATCTTCCCCAGATGTATGCCTCAGAGAGATCTCTAGGGTTTTATGGTAAACCTCAGAAAAATGAAAGGATAAGTCTTGCCAGTATTTGTCCATCTTGGGAATTTCAAGTGCTTTTCTAATGTAGCAGCAGGGAGTGACACATGCTGAGGTCTTCCCGCTCGGCAGGGTGTCACCTGTGAGGTCCTGCCACAACAGCTTAAGTTAGAAGTGGGGATCCTGTAAAAGGCCAAAAGTTGAGGTAATTTTTTAAATAGTATTTTTTAATGTAACATTTTATGCTTTTGTTTCTGTGTGTGTTTAATGTATTTCTAGCAAATTTAGGGTTTTTGTTGTGTAGAAAGTACTATGAAAACATACTCTTAATTTAAAATGTCCATCCTTCTCTTGAGCTTTTATATCCATTTGGGTATTTCAGTGCCTCCAGAAAGAGTTGAGAAGATAATGGATCAGATCGAAAAGTACATCATGACTCGTCTCTATAAATATGTGTTCTGTCCAGAAACTACTGACGATGAGAAGAAAGATCTTGCCATTCAAAAGAGGATCAGGTAGTTGTTTTGCTTTGTCTTATATTTACTCTACCTACTAATGGAAGAAAATGTTGCGGAAAAATAAGGCACTTGAGTTTCAAACCTTAAGAGAAAGTAACAGCTAACGTACCTGCCTTCCTTGGCATATAAGCTCTCTGTGGTGTCAGAAAGAAAAGGAACGTGGTAATCTTGCTTATCCATCTGCCAGCTCCAGACAGCTTTAGGTAAGAATTATGTTTGATGTTTGAGATTGTTTCAAATCAACAAAATGTCCAAGGAACAGGAGGACTAGTTGTTTTGGTTCATTGCACTATGGTGTTAGGCAGGAAGCTGTGAGTATCCATGCCAAGGCAGTGGGTATCATCTTTCCTCATCCCCACCAGGGGTGCGCGTTATTCAGCCATTCCTCCTGTCAGCGCTCTCACTTGCGCTGGGTTGATGGCAATTCCCACAGCACCCAGTCTTCCAGGACTAGTGGAGTGAGCCCCAGTACTGTGCGCTTCAGTGGCAGTGGATGCTGAGTTAGAGGCCGCCCATGTGGGGCCAGGTCCGTGGCTGAGCATGATGAGGCATTGGGCCTGCGAGTCCCAGGGGACTCCCAGGAAAAGGGCTGATAGTTAGTAGGTCAGTACTTAGAGGTGTCACACCAGAAGTGAGGAGTTGATACTGGGAAGATGGAAGATTGAGCCTGAGGTCAGAAGCCAGAAGTAACTAGATGGGCCCTAGACCAAGAGGCAAAGTCTTTGGAGTGAGGTTAGGGTGTGACCAGGAAACACACTGAGATTCAGACTGAGGGGACCCATGCTTGGATGGCCTCTTACATGGGGTCCAGGGTGTCTCAGAAGGACAATAATGGCAATAGACAGGACAGAGAATAGTAGATTTCTTCTCAAATCTTCACTCTCAAATACCTGTTTTTTAGTCTTAGTTGTGCTATATGATTTCATTGCAACCAGTAAAATTGTCTTCTATTCTTCTTGTGATAAGTGCAGAAGAAAAGTGTCATTTTAGGATTCTAGTTACTTTGTCACACCAGTCGAGCTCCTAACCTGGGCGGGGGTGATGTGCTTGGACTCAGGATTGCTTGGTTAATCTGTGGCACCCCATGTTTTCCCTTAATTAAAGGAAATGGCAAGATGAAGGACCACAGTCCATTCTTAGAACTCTTCTTTATTTCTCTCTCTCTTTGTAGAGCCCTGCACTGGGTTACACCTCAGATGCTCTGTGTCCCTGTTAATGAAGAAATTCCAGAAGTATCTGATATGGTGGTGAAAGCAATTACAGGTCAGTGAAACTGAGAGCTTTTGGATGTTTTTCCCGGAGATTAACATTTTGCTATAATATTACTCAATACTTTTTTTTTTTTTTTTTTTGAGACAGAGTCTCACTGTGTTGCCCGGGCTAGAGTGTCGTGGCGTCATCCTAGCTCACAGCAACCTCAAATTCCTGGGCTCAAGTGATCCTCCTGCCTCAGGCTCCCGGGTAGCTGGGACTACAGGCATGCGCCACCATGCCCGGCTAATTTTTTTTTTCTATATATATTTTTAGTTGTCCAATTAATTTCTTTCTAATTTTAGTAGAGATGGGGTCTCGCTCTTGCTCAGGCTGGTTTCGAACTCCTGAACTCAAACAATCCGCCCGCCTCGGCCTCCCAGAGAGCTAGGATTACAGGCGTGAGCCACCGCGCCCGGCCTTACTCGATACTTTTTTCAGTGAGCAAAAAGTCATTAAAATATTTCTAAAATGCAGACTTCCAAAGATACATTGGAATGTAGTAAAAGTTTTAGGAATTTGATGTATTCAGAATAGCATGTTAACTCCTTTTCCCCTTCATTTTCAGTGATCAAGGTCTCATTTCTTGGGCATTGAACTAGACTAAGGTCAAATACAGCTAGAGTAAATTTCTTAAGACTCAATTGCATATATATATTCCAGATAATTTTGGATGGAGGAAGGCAATTGGTGAGGCAAGGTAATCCCTAGGCTACACCAACATATTAAAATGATACTTCTGATTGGTTAATTAGAGACATGCTTTGAATTATGTTTCTGGTTTGATCAGGAAGTAAATGAAGCACCCCAGATGGATGTGGCTCTGCCATTCTGGACAGGTCCAGACTCCTAATGAGGTTTCTGTTTCTTTTAGGAATAACTTAGGAGAATTACAACACAAAGGTTTTAAGTTTTAAAAAAAAATCCTAATGGAGAGGATGTTCAACTTTGGCCAGCCTCTCCTTCATTAGGGAGAGGAGCTTGAAAGACTTGCTCATTTAGAAATTATTAATGAAATTCTGCTGGGAAGGAAAGTGGGTCAACTGATACTAGCAGTGTTGGAGGCAGGCCATTAAGTAGGCTCCTTTGGTTGTAAGAACCAGAGAGTCACCCAAGCTACAAGAAGAAATGAGGGTTTGCTGAAGCTATTATCAGGGTTGCAAAGGAGGCTGGGCGCTCACAGGATCTTAGTGCCAGGATGCTCTAGGAACAGGATCATCGTACCACCTCTACTACAGCAAGAGGGGCTTTACTCCAAGTGATTCTTCTGCCCTCTCTGGTTCGACTTCTCTTTGTACATCTTTGCATTTCAACTCCTATTATTAAGTAAATTATTCTCTGTAATATCCTGTACAAGTTCTGTAGGTAGACTCTAAGTGGCCCAATATTGTCATGTTTGTTGTTCTAGACTTTTCTGCCAGGCTATGACATTAAGCCCCACGAATTGACTCCTTTGGGGCAAGGCCCACACCCCCCGCTTTTGCTCAGGCAACCTGATAAGAGATTGAAGGTGGGGGCCTTCTAAAAGCCTGAATGTGGGCCTTGTACTTACATTTTCTCCAAAAATTCTAGAAAGTTCAAGATCAACTGGTTTATGTTTAAAGTATTCCACAGGGGTTTTGAAGACCCTTTTCTGAAAGCTACAGGACAGACCTTGTGAAACTAGAAATTACAAGCACTAGACCATTGTTTACCTAAAAATAGAACTAAAAAAGAGGATTTCAATACATTAGGAGTTTATTAATAGAACTTGAGAGGTGAAACTTTTCTTTGAAGGCAGCTGAGAGAAGTTTCAAGAGATGTTTTTTTTGTTTTTTTTGAGACAGAGTCTCACTTTGTTGCCCTGGCTAGAGTGAGTGCCGTGGCGTCAGCCTAGCTCACAGCAACCTCAGACTCCTGGGCTCAAGCAATCCTCCTGCCTCAGCCTCCCGAGT